GGGGGGGGGGGGGGGTGATTATGGGGCTGTGGTGATTATTTTTTCTTTTTTTGTTTTGAAATATTCTGGTTCAAAAACTAGTCCTACATGGATTTTAATGAATAAATTGTTATGGGAAGGTTGATATCACATTAAGTATTTTATTATATCAAGAATAATAATAAAAACCGAAATTTAATACTGCATCAAATATTGCGCTGTGGTCATGTTTGCTAATACCTCCAAGCAAATGATCTTTCAAGCGTTTTTCCTAAGTGTATAATACATAGTTTGTCATAGAAAATTTTGCAATTAAGTGTATAAATTAATCGGCGGCAGTCGTATTATAATTTCATATTTTAATTATAATAAATTAAGAGTACTCATAAATTAATATACTTGGTTGCAATTTGTATTAGGGTAAATTTGGACCGCCTTGTTTGATTTTTAGCATTTTTAGTGGTTGACATAAGCTCAAATTAAGGGTACTCATAAATTAATATACTTCTGTTCCGCTACTTCAGGTTCTTGTCACTTTTTTGTTTCTCATTTCTTTCTTTACCAAAAGAATTCTATTAGTAGCTTTTGTTTTTGTCGATAATATCTGCCACGTCAGTTAGGGTCTAGACGACTGGGCAGTGGCCATTGGGCATTCACAGCCTCTAATTTTCTTTTTGTTTATATAATTTTGTTCTACTTAGATAATGATAGTAAGTGCTCTATTTTTCCAATAAGGTTGTAAATTACTGACAGTGATATGCGTTCCCGTTCCAAGATCGAACTAATTACACACACATATATCATACCCCCTCTGTTTTAGTTTATGTGAATCTATTTCCTTTTTGGTCTGTTTTACAAATAAATAACTCCTTTCTAAATTTGGTAACAATTTAGCTTAAACTTACAATTCTACCTTTAATGAGAAGCTTTTGTAAAGGCAACAATTTAGCTTAAACTTACAATTCTACCTTTAATGAGAAGCTTTTGTAAAGGCAACAATTTAGCTTAAACTTACAATTTTACCCTTAATGAGAAGCTTTTATAACCACACAAATACTCTGGCCCCTTTTTGACTTGTTTAGCACCACAAATTCCAAAAGTCTTCATTTTTTCTTAAACTCCGTGTCCAGTCAAAGAAGTTCACATAAATTGGAATGGAGGGAGTATATATATATATATATATAGGGAGAGAGTCTGAGCACTAACTATGTCGTTTAGGAAAACGTGCGTTATTTTCATGCACGTCACCACGTAGTTTAGGAAGAAAAAAAAATGCACGCACGTAAATATGCAGAAAATTCCGAATTTTGGGCATAGAGATCCGGCAAGAGGCAAGATTCAGGTTAACATGACAACCACTATTTCCCTCTTTCCGTTTCATCTCCTTCTCTTTCATTCATTAGCAAAACTCTCCATTTTTGGTTGCTCTGGAAGAGGCTCTCCCCTGCCCGGGCCACCCAGGGTTCAGGTTATTTGGCGATTCATTGTTCTTTCCCTGAGAATCCATGAAAACTACTCGTGAACCTTCAGCTTCTCCATGGTATCTTCTATATTCGATTTTAATTTCCCATCTTACCATTTTTGTTAATTTTCATTATACACTTTATGAATCTCCCTTTTATTGGTTATACCATATTCAGGCAGTTAGGCAGCTGCTGCCTCTTTTTCATTTTTTGGTTGGGGTGGGGGTTCGGGAAATGTTGTAGGTGTAGCTAATTTGTAATATTAACCAGATGGTTAGCTAATATATGCGTAATGTGTTTCTAATCCAGACATAATGTGTTTCTAATCCAGACATACATCTGTGTCATTGTCATGCAATGAAATATGTACAAGAATGGTGGATAATATAGATACAAACCTATTAGTATAATAAGAACTATTTTGGGTATATAAATGGAAATGCTCTTTGCTGTATGTGTGGACAACAATGACATTTCAAGCCACTGTTGTCTTTAAAACTTGGGATCTTTGAGTAGTTTTCCTAAGAGGACTGCAGATCGTCGAAGTCGAAAAGACATATGTAAGAGAATGGTAGCTGAGATAAGTTGAGGGCCGGAGATACGAATGAAAAATGGAGGAAGAATCCATTTGCTCGGTGTTTCGAGAATCGCCTAATACAATGTGTTTGATTAAATGACTCATCGAAATAACTGATAGTTCTAATTGTGTTAACAGTGAGATTCCCTGCAATGTCAGTGAAGGAATCCCAGAGAAGGGGCTTCCGAAGATGGGGCAGAATAAGCTGCTTTTTTGTGCTTCCATTTCTATCTCTGCTGAAGGTAAAATTTCTTTAGGTGGATGCTTTCTTTTACCTTTGTAAAATTTCTTGCTCCTATTACTTCTCTACAGCTAATTTCTTTTACCTTTGTAATATGTGACATTTCATCATGTTATGCTAGAATTGCGGTGTCTCACTATGGCGGAAGGAAAAGTAGACAAGGATTCAACTGGAGAAGTTTTGGACAAGGTTCAATTTCGAGATGATTTATCTGGAAAAGTTATTAAAGATAATGAATATGAGGAGTCTACAAGAGATGCTTCCGAAGATGGATCAGAGTCTGAAACAACAACTTCCAAGTCCAGCACTTCAGATTCAGATGGAAAATTTCAATCTCAGTGGAAAGGATTCATTAAAAGACTAAAGATTGGGTCTTCCATACATTTGCATACTTTCCATCCTAGCATACCTTCACTGCCTTCTATTAAGATGATAGCGAAAAGGAAAAGTAAGAGTACAGAACAGAACATGCCAATGGTGCCTGCTCCTAGCCTAGATACTGATTTACGTCACTGCTTTCAAGCGCACTGGAAAAACTTCTTCCTCTCCGACCTTCAGAAAGCTACTGACAACTTTAGCCGTGGTATGATGATTAGACAATTTAATTTTATCGTAGTCCCTGCAACTAATTGATTCTTAGGCAGCCAACATGAAAGCAAATATCACTTTGAACGTCAAAAACAACTCAAAATTTTAACTTTCAACTGCTTTTGTGCTATGGGCTTGTTTGTATCTTCCATTTATTTAGCAAATTACCAGATTAAAAACCATATTGTGATGCTAATTATTCTTTATGTCATTCTCAAAGAAAACTTGATCGGTGAGGGAGGTTCATCCGAAGTATATAAGGGACATCTTGAAGATGGCCAACTAGTTGCAGTTAAAAGGCTGATCAGGGGAACTCAAGAGGAGATGGTAGCTGACTACTTATCTGAGCTCGGAATTCTAGTACATGTTGACCATCCAAATGTTGCTGGTGTTATTGGATATGGAGTTGAAGGAGGGATGCACCTTGTCCTTCCTCTGTCTCCACATGGGAGCTTAGCAACTCTGCTTAATGGTCTGTTCACTATATCTTCATTTGAATTTATTCCTTTTGTAGATTTTAAATCGTGAATTACTTTTCTCTATTATGCATTATTCTTTTCAGGTGAAAAGGGTAAGTTGGCTTGGTGCCATAGGTATAATATTGCTCTAGGCACTGCTGCTGGCCTTGCGTATCTCCATGAGGGCTGCCGGAGGAGAATCATCCATAGAGATATCAAGACAGCTAATGTTTTGCTGACGGAAGATTTTGAGGCTCAGGTACTTCTTTGAACCAGTGCTTATGATTTTAATAGCCATTGTATTATGTTTTAAAATTGCTTTGCTGTCTTGTATTTGAGTACCTTTCTGCGATACTTGAACGTTGTTTGTCAGAATACCTTCATCATTCTGTACTTGTCCCAAACATGAAGTTTTCTTCGAAGTGACAGAACACAAGAATATTTATTGCCTTAGGGATAAAAATGCATTGGGGTTTGTTTCTGTTCTATTTATGCGCTACTTAAGCTGCACTCTTCCAGTCAGGAAATCCATAGTCCATGAACTTCTAATAGAACTAATATAACCTATAGGGGTTTTATTTTATTTTATTTTTTTCAATTTGCAGCATTTTGATGCTCAGCTTTTGGTTTTCTGCAGATATCTGATTTTGGACTTGCAAAATGGCTCCCTGATCAGTGGACACACCTCACTGTATCTCAGTTTGAAGGCACATTCGGGTTTGTGGAGACATAATCTCAACCAACAAAACATATATGCTATAATAATCTCCCATAGGTGACATATCATTTTAAATGCCATGACAGATATCTCCCTCCTGAGTTCTTCATGCATGGTATTGTGGATGAAAAAACAGATGTTTATGCCTTTGGCGTTTTATTATTGGAGCTCATTTCTGGACGTCCAGCTTTGGATGAATCTCGCAATAGTGTTGTGATGTGGGTATGCAATCATCTCAACTCTATATTCTTCAGTTAGTAGGGAACAAATGTAGTAGATTAAGACTGCCACTTCTTCTGGCAACGGATCATGTTTCAACCGTAATTGAAACTTACTATGATCACCATGTTGCAGGCCAAACCATTGCTCCTTAGTAAGAACCACAGCGGGTTAGTTGATCCATCACTTGGTGATGCCTATGACTCGGAACAGATGAATCGTATGGTTATGGTTGCCTCATTATGCATACAGCAAAATTCGACAGATCGGCCTCATATGAGCCAGGCATGTAATTTGAATTTTTAGGGAGCACATTACTAGTATGAATAATAATAACAGAATGCGGATGGTAGCCTTTTGAAAGTAAAGATTGGGTTTTTCCTCAGATTGTCCAGTCTTCTAGTATCTAAGTTTTTTATGTTCTCTTAATTATAGGAGTATAAAGATACTCCTGAAGGGATAGTCAGTATTTTACAGGAAAGAGAGTTTATTTCTACTCTGGATAGTTCTAAAATTTTGCAGTGATCCAGAAAACTTTACTGGCAGAGGCAGAACCTCTCATCTGTTTCAATTCAGAGCCATTATAGGTAAAAAAAAAAAAAAGAAAGGAAAAAGACAGTTCCTTGA